GTGGAACCTCAAACCCATTCGCTTTTAAGGATCTCAACCGCAACTCACCCAGCTCAGGCTTGTTCCATCTCATCCTTCGTATTCGACTTGATAACTCTTACGACGCTGAATACAGCCAGCTCTTTCACAAAGCCAAAGAAATTCATGAAGCCAGAACATCAACTTCTTCGCCTTCTGCTCCATTGAGCTTCTATCAGCAAGAAGACCCTACAAGCAATATTCAAGCTTATCGCGAATCATTCACGGCGCTCTACACAGAATCAGCTACAAGCCATTCGAGTCTGGCAAAATTTAAACCCATGGCAAGACACAAAGTCCACTTTCAAAGTTCACGAGATTCAATTCTTAAACGTAAATACGACCTGATTCGCTCCCGTTTTCTACACTCAAGGAGCAGCAAGATACAATTGAGATCTCCTTGAGTGTTCTCGAATGGCAGCAGAAGGCTTCTTCATCCAAGGCCGTCAAAAAGTTCATGCAGCCTCCATCCAACGAGCGAACTTCTCAAGACAGCAACAGCAGAACTTGACAAGAACACTCGAGAAGCAAGATTGATAGGCTACTCCATGATCCAGGGACCGACGAAAGCCTCAGAACGCGATGTTCTTAACCGATATGCTCGCCGAAGCAAAGGAAAAGCTCGACCAGTGCATGAACGAATTACCACCATTACCAGCAGGTACCAAAGAAACGCATCAGATAACTACAGGAAAGGAGGTTTGATTGAGACAGAATCTCATCTCAACGCGTACAAGAGGAATTACAGGACGCACACGTGGTCTCATGGCCGCCAACATCGTCAGAGATAAGCTCAGACTCGTATGAATTCCTCAGGAAAGACCGAAAACAGGTTCAAGATTTTTCGAACCAGGAGAAGATTGCCAGATGGATGTCGATCCAAAGGAAGTTGCAGCATGCAGAAAAAGAGAATCATAGAGCTCGAAGAGAAGCTTGAACAAGTTTGCCCAATCAAAGGAAAGAAAACACAGATCTCACGGGTGGCAGCAGCACCAGCATTCTCCAGCACCGAAACCAGCTGAGAAGAAACCTGTTGAAAATAAGCATGAATCTTGTTGCTGAAGAATACGAACAAACTGATGACGAAAACTACTGAGGAAGAAGAGGAAGGTCTACGAGTACTCTCAGATGAAGTAAACAGTGCTTATTATTTCTTATACATTTAACTTTTTTTCTTCATTTTTTTCAAATATATCTCATTTCTACTTAATTCGACACAAATTCTTTAATATCTTGAGAAATTTAGTTTATTACAATATGATTCATAATTGTTCAGCCCAATTTTGCATATTTTACTGAAATGAAATCTTTTGCAATATATAATTATAGTGAAGTTTACTATATCATACATCATATATATAGCTTTTGGCTCTAGATATGATATTTTGATTTGACTTGCATTTGAAATATATGATAATGTATATTTGTTAAAGAATAAAATGGCCAAATCTTGAGTATTCAGATAAAGATACATAGTTAATGGTCTCTGAATCTTAATTTTGAAAATACGAAATTATGGAAATTATTTCAAAAACATCAGATTTGCTATTAATTCCGATAGAAAAATGTATACATTATATTTATATATATATATTAATGAACAAAAAAACTTACAAAAGTTTTTTTTCGTATCAACGCGACCAAAAATAAATTTAAATGACGCTCTTTTTTTTACTTCGTACTATTAGTTCCGAAATTTATTTTGAGGAACATTCAACACCGATGGATGGACAAAGCAGATGGATTAAATCCGAAAAGCATCCTCCGGGCAAACCATTCGTCGTTGGCCAATTAACTGCCGCTCTACACCCGTGATCCAGCCAAAACAGAGACGTATCAAAACATTAGATGATTTTAGAAAACTATGCTATATCCGCTCGTTTTCAGAAGTGCTGGACAGATAAAAATCGTCCATTAGTTGTCCAATATACACTTAAAATGGATAAGCCAATCATTTGTGGTGGTGCCTACATCAAGCTTATTCCTGATGGTCTTGATCAGCGCCGTTTTCCACAGGTGGTACACCATATTCTCTCATGTTCGGTCCCGATGTCTGTTTTGCCCACACAGATTTAATCCAATTTTATCATCAGCCGTAAACGGTACAAACTTTAAGATGCTACAGCACGTAGAACCGAAGAAGAGATGCCATACCCATCTTTATACTCTCTACCTCGGCACCAACGGATCATTTGACATCTGGCTCGATGGCCGCAACAAATACGAAGGCACCCTCAAAGAGGAATTTGAGTTCGAAGGACCGAAAATACATCATGGATCCTTACGATAGGAAGCCAATTGATTGGGATGACAGGGAATGGATACAAGATCCAGATGACAAGAAGCCAGAAGGCTGGGATGACCGCCGCCGGTATCCCAGATCCAAGTGTACAAAAGCCAGAAGATTGGGATGACGAAAGAGATGGAGTATGGGAGCCTCCTGATCAGAAATCCAAACTTTACAGCTGTATGGGAAACCAAGGATGATTCCAAATCCAAATTACATGGGCTACATGGCGTCCAAAGAAAGATTCCAAATCCAGATTACACTCCGGACGAAGATTTCGGCAAAATTCGAGACCTTTCCTTACTTGGGACTTGATCTCCACCAGGATTAAACTCAGGCCAGCTCTTCGATAACTTCCTCGTTACAGATAATCTTACATACGCAGGTGAAGTGGCCGAAGTTGTCTTCTATCCGATCGTCCCGAAGGAGAACGAAGTCTACTTCAGATGGGGTGGCCACGACAGATGGGAAACACAGAGAAAGTGGGGTATCGAAGATTTTCGGACGTTCAAAAGGACTTCGGAGTCGATGCAAACGGAAACAGATTTGATGCATCCTGACTCATTCTACAAGAATACACACAGAAAGTCTATCGCCGAAGAAAAATCAAACAGGCACAGGCTATTTTCTGATAAGTCTTTCAACGAAAGAAATGATCTTTAAATGTTTAAAATTAGTAGTTAGTAATTCGGATTTAAACAAACTAAAAAATTAGATGAATTGAGAATTATTATTTTTTTAATTTCCACAGAAAATCTTTATCATATTTCTTTGTGTTTCAAGGTTATCAATAACAATTGTCATCTAGCAGAAACATGAATTTTTTCATGAGAATATATTAACATTAATGAATGACTTGTTATTTGTGTTACATACTTATTCGGAGCTATACAGCCAATAGCGTTAAAAATTTATTCATAAAAATAAATGAAAGTTATAAATTCTGATGATACCAATGTTGATGCTAATCAAATTCTAGCTGAAATACCGAGATTTTGCTACAGAAATAACTTTCAAGCTATCGAAAACTCTACACTCAGCTGCGATAGTGGTTGGGGATGTTGTTTTCGATCTTCTCAAGGATTAGTATGTCAAATATATACTAAGATTGCACAAAAAATTTTCCAGACTTATATAATCAACATTCGCGTATAGACAAGAATCCTTTGGATTTATTTGTCTTGATATCCCAGAAGCACCTTTTTGGAATCCAAAACATTGTTACACATGCAAATTTCTTTAGTGTTTACCAATTGGTAATTGGGCAAAACCATCAATAATTGCTTCTGCATATAAATCAATTTTTTCAATCGCTGCATTTAAACTGTATTGTACCACAAGATTCCACATTTATATACGAAGAACTAGAATCTACAAATTATCCTGTTTTAATTTTAATTCCAGGATTGTTCGGATTGGAAAAGATCGAAAAAACCATACATTTCATTCATTCTTTCTTTCATTATGTATGAACTCTTCACTGGGCTTGTTAGCGGACATAATGATTCAGCATTTTATTTTATTGGCTTCGATTCAAATTATTTTTATTATTTTGATCCACATGTCACACAAACAGGCATTAACAGGCCCACCATATGATTCTCTCTTTGAGTTAAAGCTCAAATCTATGAAAATAGAGAACATCAATCCTTCTGTTTTGCTTGGATTTTATTGTGACGATTCAATACAAGAACTTATTTTATGCAACTTATGGTTGCATTACAATCGCCTATAGCTGTTATAGAAAAATCAAAACTTGATGATATCCTTCAAGATGTCATTGAAATTTGAATAGTATTGTTATATTTTTGTACATTTGTTTGTAAATATTTCTATCTACATTATCAAATCCTTTACTTCTCAGTATCAAAAAATAATTTTTCAAAATTAGAATTATTTGATATAATTTATCGACAATTTTGAATTAAATAGTAAAAATGAAACCATTTTATACTATTTATATTAAATTTGCACTCTAGATATTCAAAAAACATTTTTCATGGAAAAGGCTCCAAAAATTCTTAATCTCGATCAGAAAATCACATATCCAAGTCCAAACCAAGAAGGAACTACAGCTATTGCTTCGATGCTGAAAAACTTATTCGAGAAAAACAAGTAGAAATCAGAAATTAACTCGACCAACAAATCTATATTGGGAAGAAAGCAAAAATTGTTGTGGTTCATCATGCATTAATCCACCATCACTTGTAGATCATATTTTTGTTCATGTGCTCAAAGAAAATATTCCATTATTTGCTGCTCATTAGATCCAAGAGGTTTAGGGAAAGAAGTTGGAATGAAGTCACTTACTGTTTCAGCAATTAAAGATTCAGCCGATAAAAGTATAATTAATCTATTAATGCCTTTTACTCAATTCATTCCAGAATCATCATTCCCTCAGACATTTACTTAATCAAATTATTTTGATTTTATATCATTTTCCAATAATACGCAAAAAATCTCCTGGAGTTAATTTTCTTGACACCGATATCATGGAAAATTCATTGAAATATGCTTATTTTGTCAATAGACAGTATTGGCACTCGAAATCACTATTCAGGATGTTTTTTTTTTAGAATTCTCAATCTTATTTTAGACTAAAATATAAAATAATAATTTTGAAAAGTTGAGTAAATGATTTTTTTTAATAAGAAGATGATTGAGTTGATTGGCCAAATAGTTTTTAAGTAATCTTTTACTTTATCTGTTGCAACCATCAATGCGGTTTTGCAGGATTATCCTTTGTTTATTTATTAGCTCCAACTGAGGAAAGATATTGAACAATCTCACGATAACCAAATTCTTGATGCCCAATTAAGTGCAGTTTTCCCAGAATCATCTTTTGCTTCTTTATTAGCTCCAAGTGAGATAAGACATCGAACAGAGTCAATTGAATTATAATTATGATGCCAAAATGAGTGGATAAATCCATTCACAATCTTTTCTTCTATATCAGCTCCAACTGAGACAAGATATTTTACAACTTCAACACGTTTGAATAGTAATGCTTTAATGAATGGATCATATCCATCCAAATTCTTTGTTTTATACTAGCTCCAACGGATATGAGATATTTAACAACGTCAAAGATGACCTCTTGTGATGCACACATGAGTGGAGTCCAATTTTGATGATCTTTTGCTTCTTTATTAGCTCCAAAGGAGGATAAGATATTTAACAACGTCTAGATGATCTGATGCAAACATGAGTGGAGTCATACCAAATTTAGTCCTTGTTTCTTTATCACAACCACATTCGATAAGTGATTTAACAAGCTTAAGATTTCCGTTTAGACATGCAATATGAAGAACATTCCGTTTCATCACATGTATTTTTTTTTAGAAATCTTTTTCCAAAGTCCTTCTTCGCATGATTTTGAAATCATTTCATGATTTCCTTTCGAAGAAAGTTCATCAAGGAAATTGTAAAAAGCTTTCAAAATCATTAGATCTCTTAAGTTCTTCAATTTTAGTTAAAATATCTCGTGAATGATTGTGACTTCATTAGTTACATTGATAGTCGTCTCTTTTGTTGCATTTTCATTTTCATTTTGAAATGCTTTGGGTTTATCTTGAATTATATCTATTTCGTTCGTAGAATCGTTTATTTATTCCTAGTTCTGCTTTAAAAAATCAATAATACCATCAAATATATTGAATTTCATGTATCTTTTCAGAGACTTAAGAATTGAAACAACTTCTTCGAGATTTTGGATGGTAATATTTGCTTTTCGCGTACAGGCATATATATCTTTGGATTTGATGGGTTGATGAAGATTGTTTGAGAAGAGCAATATACTCATCAGCTGTTAAATGCGAGTATTTCATTTATGTTTTGATAGATTCGATGTGGAATGTATCAAACAAGTTTTCGTTTTTAATATAATCACTTATATGAGCTCCGATGTATTCGAAATACATGACCTACTTTGTTTTTCTAAAATCTGAAAATTTACATTCGAAAATTTTCATTCCAAAATTTAGTGCTTTATTTAAATAGTGACCTAATCATTTGAGAATTGCTGGAAAACGGTTCACAAGTCATAAAAAAATTGCCACCATACTCCTTAAATAAACTCATGGACATTTTCAGCCCAATATTAAACACTTATAACATTTGATTATAAAACATAATAGAAAAGGAAGTTAAAGTTTCCAAATGTTATAAAAACACTTGAACATCAGAAGAAGATTTCTACAATTCAAAGTTAGAATTAATTGCCTGTAACTATTTTCAAAATAACTCATGAAGAACTTTGAGTTTCTATCAAAAGGACATCTTTTACTCCAAATTTTGATAAAATTTTTTCTATCGATATTTTTTACAACAATCAAACTAAAAACATTGAATTTATTCTTCAATGAGCCTTACATCACAAGCAGTAATAATGCATGAGATGCAAGACTGGAAGTCAAAGTTTTCATTTATTACAATACCTGAGGTTCAAAACGCACCATATTCGAATTTTCGTTCATTAATTTCCGAAAACTCAGACATTATTGATATATCCAATATAATTGAAGCCGTTTCAATGAAATTAAGCATTGATGTCCTTAAAGACATTTCATTCAGTTTTCCTTCTGAAAAGAATAGAATTGCACAAACAGCAGCAGCTACAAGAACAAACTTTAAGATTTTCACCTAGTAACGAAGTTTTAGCTAGTAAACCGAATGCTGCATATATTGCTAATCCTTCAACAATTCAAAAAACATTACCACAAAAGTATAACAAATCTAAACTTAATAATAGAAAGATCATTTATAAAGTAACTATTTGTGGTGATGATCAATCATTTATCTCTATGAATCAACAAAAATTTTTGAAAAAATTATACCAAATATTTTGTTTGACATTATATAATGATCGATGGGTTGTATAAGGTTCATCTACTTAAATTCATCAACTGCTGCTGCGCCATTTAGTTGATTATAAGATATTTCATTCAAATAACTGAATTTACTCATCAGATTGCAGCCTTAGATTACAAAACAATTTGATATTGAAGTTCGATGCATTTGAACTTCCACAAATAAAATCCAGATAATCATTGTTACATTAAAAACATGATTATAATCATAGTTCATAGTTGCAAAGTCCTAGGAACATAGCCTATAATTCAAAACATTATTTATTTTTGAATTACTGCATTCTCTTTAAGAAAATAATTTCAATAAACTAACATTTATTAAATTCTATTAAATATTTTGATTCTATCACTGAGATCTACCGCCATATCTTGTAAATAAATAATAAGAAATCTAAAAAATAATTTATTTATTATAAATAACAAATTAATCACTAAAATCTTTATTGGTTGTCGAAGATATATCTTCCAGCTCTTGTCTGATACTTTATTACCTTGTTACACTTGACATATTAATCGGATCAATTTCTTCAATCTTAAAACCAGAAATTGAAGTATCTTCAAGTTTGAAATCAACAAAAATAGGAATTTCACAAGAATTCTTGTTGATTCCTTCATCAATTGAACAGCTACCGCTTAAAGATAAAATTTCTTTTGATCAGTAGCTTCAAGTGACCAAATCAACATATTTTGTCCTTTTAGATATTTCATGGATCCAGTACCAGCTGCACATGATGGTGATGGAATCCTTTTGGTAAATTAAAGAAATCTGAATGTTCTTAATACTACTGATATTAAATTTGGTGCAAGTCTAATCGAAATATTCAAAAATAACGCTTACTTTTGAAAAAAGAAAACTTGGTATTACGAAAACTGGTAAATTCGTGATATTAGCCTTGCAAGTGTAAGACATTAGCGTAAACTGACCATCTGGAGGTATAAATTGCATTTTCCTTGATAAATGTAATGATGGATCAATACATCTGTGAAAAGAATAATCTTCCAACTTAGAAGGAAGTAAATAAACAAAATTAACGTTTGAAGGGTCATATAACCGAGAGAACATATTGACTTTTCCTGCTACAACTAGGTTTTCGGACTTTCCTTCTGAATTAATTCGAGAATGAATTTCTTCATCAACAGTTAATTTCGATATATTGAGCAGATTTAACAGGCGATGATGTTCTCCAAGGAGATTGCATCTCAAAACCAATCGTATCTTTTGTTGTATCGTTGAATGAAGAACATAAAAGATTAAATTCATCGATAAATGGATATCCAGCATCAATGAACTGATCTAAAAGGACGTATGCAATCGGATAATCGACTTTCATTGTATCAACTGATAATTCTGACTTAAGAGATCTTTCTAACATTTTTTCAAACTCAATAACAAGCGATGATAGTGCAATAGTTGATGTACCTTCGTATGTATGCCTATAAAATACATTTTTTTAATATAGTAAGATGCGAAAACTAATCCGAATTGTGAGATAATTGGTGAAATCTTTTGTTGTGCTCTGATTAATTTACATATCGGGTCAACATCCTGCCGAGAAAGAGTCTTTGTATAGTATCTCTCGACCAAAAATTTCCCCAATTTCATCAGTGACTATTACTCCACTCAGCATAAGTAATATTTTTGACAATAATTTGACAAAATGTCAGAATTTTTTAAGACGTCAAAATTATATAATATATCTTCACATTCATACAAAATAAGATGCACATACATTTCTTTAGCATTTTCCTTTTATCATGGATAGTTCCAATTCATACATACGAATCTGAATTAATTTCCTAAAAATGAAAGCTTCCTGATCTTAACAATTATAGAAAATGATCAGGTGTGACAAGCAATATTAATACACAATCGTAATTGCATTTCGATATAGATCTACATAAAAAAATTAAAAATGTAGCATTTTATATTTAAAAACAAAAAGTGCATAAATCCATAAATATAAAACAAACACATTAGAAACATCAAAAAGCAAAAAAAATAAAAACGTTTTTTATAAATTTCTTAATAATGAAACTTTTTACATAGGGACGGTCGATAAGAGTACATGAATTTAATTCTTTAGTGCACGACTGTCCTGACAAACAACGCATGGCATGCAAAATGTTGTGCAAAGGCAATCCATGCAGTCATTGTCATTTTGACCAACTTTTCTCATAACATTCTTGCGTACCCAATAAGGATGAACAACCATAAAGGAGATGACATAATGTGCATTCTTCACACGAGATCTAGCCCAGTTGCAAGAATTCAAGCATGGGAAACAGAAAAGGCCAAGTAAACAAATCTGGCAATCTTGGAAGCATCCAAAACATACCACCTGAATAGTTGTACATCGTTTGATAACTGACACTTTTTAAAGAAATCTGAAATTTCTCAGAATTTGGATATTTATGTAAGCATATTCGTTTTTTTTGCTTCTATCAATTTCCTCTTTATTTTGATGGAATATTTCACTTCCGTTTTTCTGTAAATTATGTTGGCATGCTTAAATTACTAAACATCGATTATATTATGGTTGTAAGGGTCCTAAGTGTCACATAGATGGTTTGAAAGTTTCCAAATAACTTTAATTATGCTGAAACTTACTTATGTAGAATATTCTGTGTTAAATTGTATTGTCGCTAGACATATAAACGAGCTTGTATTAAAACGAATGCGAATATTGATAAAGTATCCCACCAAAATGATACCCTTTTCCCATGGTAAGGTAATTAGATCATAAGGACCAAATACAAAGCAACTTAGTCGTATTTCATTTACAGCAATATCAGAAGGTACATAAAGATATATCTTGTATGTGTATATATCCAGATTTTGTCAATTGAATTTAAGGAATTCAAAAGCCGTGTCTTTAATCCTTATGAAATGTTAGAAGTTGATAAACACAGGCTTATTGAAGGAATTATTTTATATATGCTATAAAAATTCTAAACAAGGCAATTCATTTTTGAAAACTTTATTTCAAATAAAATAAAATAATGGATGTCTAGAAACTTAGCATGTATTGAAGGATATTTAAGAATTTTAACTTACAATTTACATGCTAAATTACATACGTTATTGCTGTGTATTAAAATTCTGTTCTCCTATTTTTATGGGGAAATAGTAGCAATGATCATTTCTTACCATTTCGCAAACCCTAGTTTTGTATTTAATGACTTGATTCAATTTTAAGTAATTTTTTTGTTAGTAATGACAAACATACGTAGAATAGTGTGATCGTCGAAACTTTGTCAGTACCTACTCTGACTATGACTGTGCTCATAACACTTATGCTTGTCCAAAAATATTGCCGCGATATGGAGAAAAAGTGATTTTATTAAAAAATTTACAACTATTCAAACCTACCCCTTAATCAACAAAGTTTGTCAAGCAAAATTCTGCGTCCAAAACATTGTATATCTTTTGTAAACATTTTCTGTTACTTTGATTTTTCCTTACCAAGATTTTATCAAAAGCTTGTGTCAAAAATTTTTTTTGAAATAAACCGGCAAAGGTTTCAAACAATATAATAAAACCATTATTAAATTTTTAAATATGTACTAAAAATAAAAGTTTCTTTTTATTATCTCAAAACAATCACCTTGTGAATTTAATTAATAAAATCATTCCTATTAACTTGACAAAGCATGATTATTATATTGCATGATTAATTTATATTCTTATTGAATTTTTTCTGAATAAAAGCAATAACGTTTATGATTTATTATTACTATTGTTAATTTGACAATGAATGCAAAATTAAATCGATATTATTGAGAAACCGATGGTTATTGAAATTACTCTCAATTCCCGGTAAAACGTCAAATTCATTATCATGTCACTCCTCCTTTCTCTAATTATTGGCCAAACCAAGAAGCTACAGCATCAACAACCGTTCCTGGTGATGGTCGATATATTAATACAGAACAAGGCAATTTCTATATTTATGGAGCAGAATTCAAAGACTTGAATGGAAATGGACAAGATGGTAGAGCCCTTTATATACACCATAATACCGGATATGTTGCACTCGTTCTCTGCTACTTTAACAACATTAATTCTAATAAAAAAGCCGGTGCAATCAGATTAGATGAAACAAATTGTGTCATTGACAGCACAGTCGCAAATAAATGCTACACTACAAATACTGATGAAGCAAATTTCCAAAACCAAGGCCAGTTCGTTTATGCAGATGGAAATGGAATTTCCAAATTCACAAAGACTTCAATTACCGAATGCGCTCCATCTGATGTTGCATTTAGTGGTAATTGCCAACGCCCGCTTGCTCTTACTGGTACAGTCTATTTTAATACAGTGAACATTTCCCAGTGCTATACCACGTGGTGTTCAGGATTTTATACGTCAGGAACAATAAGTGAAGCAAAGTATATCAATGTTGAGGGCACAAGCTCTAATATGGTTGCAATTGAACTTGCTTCAGCAGGCACTCCTGCTTTCGAATACACGTTTTTCAAAGATTACTCAGAATTATGTGCCACAACAAACAATGGCGACTGTGGTCTGGCTCTTTTATATTTCTATAGTACCCAGGCTACATTCAATTACATTTCTATCCAGTCACCCTAAAGCTCCTGCAGAACAATATTTGATTTTCAAGGCAAAAGATGAAGCTGCTACATGCACTTTCAACAATTACGTCCTTTTCGAAGAGCGCCAAGACTGATGGGATTACTCTTTCAGGAACCACAGATACATTTGCAAACACAGATCAATACATTACAGAGGAAAAGAGACAGGCGATTCTTAACCCAAGCAACCCAGACCCAGGCAATGAAACAGTTGATCCAGGCAATGAAACAGTAGATCCAGGCAATGAAACAGTAGATCCAGGCAATGAACAGTAGATCCAGGCAATGAAACAGTAGATCCAGGCAATGAAACAGTAGATCCAGGCAATGAAACAGTAGATCCAGGCAATGAAACAGTAGATCCAGGCAATGAAACAGTAGATCCAGGCAATGAAACAGTAGATCCAGGCAATGAACAGTTGACCCAGGCAATGAAACAGTTGATCCAGGCAATGAAACAGTAAACCCAGCAATGAAACAGAACCAGATCCAGAGAATCCACAACCAGAACAGCCTGAGACACCAGTACAAACACCAGCACCAACAAATTCCAGCTCTCCAGAAGAGAAACCTGTTCCAACAAAGCAGACAACCAAGAGAATAAGATCGCAAGAATGGAAAAGAAGAATTTCTATATCATGATAGGTGTTATTATCGCTGCTGTGCTGATAATTATCATTATAGTTATAGTTGTTGTTGTAAGACGAAGAAACAACCACATGACGTTACAAGTAGTAGCAGTGAATCCGAAGTTCATGCAGCCGACATAGCTACAATTTCTGCACCAGATACAAACTTCCCAACAGAAACTGCACAAACCAATGTCACATAGACTACAAATAACCAATATGAAACAGACCCATTCAAGCCAGAATTTGAAAAGTCTGAGTCCACAAACGACATAATAGAGAGCAATGTTCTCTAAATTTCATATTGCTTTTAAAGTCAAAAGCAATCTTTTCCTTACGTGAATTTTTTTAAAAATTCATTTTATTAATTTTATTAATGTTTTTGCGATAATAACAGTCATAATGTTGTAAACAGAAATTGATTAAAAGTGACACCTCAGAAAAGCTAAAATATTGAATTTTTGGAACTTTTGATAGAGCACGTTTTAAATATTAATTAAAGTAAATGTATATTTTGTAAAGATTCTTTTTAATAAAAAAATAAATTTTGAAGAAGAACACAAAATCTTCTGAAAAATAATATCACATAAACTCATATTATTTTCTAATATCTAACTATTTTATATAAAAATCAAATTCAATGATCTTAAAGCGAAGGATAAACCTCCAAAATTTACGAATATAATGAGTGGGAATATAATGCTTATCTATCATAAAACCATATGAAATATCAATTTTTGCTTTACGCCTAATTTTTGACGACAATTAGCAAAAAATGTTAAATGTTAACACTCAGTCCATTTGAATATGAAAAAAAAATTGACTTTGATTAAATGTTTTTATTTATCATGCAATTCTTCTTGCGACCAAAGATTTGAATAAAAGTTCAAAAAATAAGATAGCTTAAAAAATAATTACGGTAGTGTTTACTAATAGATGAATAGTATATAAATTCTATTAAAATGGATTTGATCCAAAAAAATATAAAATCAAAAATAATTGTTATAATTTAAGGGTGCACCCGTATGTACGTTTTTTGAGAGGAGGAGGATTACCCTCTCAATTTTGAGGGATTCGTTAGTTTATTTTCTTGATGAATATGCAATAAAATTTGATTTTTACCTTATCAATATACTTCATATAATATACACATGTTCATGTAAAAACTTTTTCCCAAAATCCTCAGGAATTAAGGAATTTTTGAATTTTAAGAATTTTTTTCGAATTTTTTCGAAAAAAAAATTTTTCAGAACAGCCTTAACGGCTAAGATTTAGGAACAATGTTAAGTATCAAAAAGAAAGGAGGTCTGATATAGACAACATATATCGTTGAAGGTTGAAAAAATCTCTAATATTTGAGCCCAAAATTTCAAATTTTAATTTTTTGAAAAAAGAGGCCACCCGTATGTACGTTTATTTGAGAGGAGGAGGAGGATTATATTTTGAAAGGGTGAAACATTATGAATATGTTAATTATATAATAATATGTATTATTATAAAAAAGAAAAATAAAGCACGTTAAAATTTTTTTTCTTGATTTTTTACAAAATCTACTTAGAATTATGCAAAATATGACTAAATAATTATAAATTTCAAGTTAAATTTTAATTTTGATAAATAATTTAAATTTCAAAATATCAAGTTCAGTTCGACTATGTATGTAGTAATTCCTCAAAAAGTGCCAAAACCCTATTAAAAATATATGAACATTTTCAACATTTTAATGTTTTTATTTAAAATTTGATGGAATATGAGCTTCAAACAATTATTATGTAAATTAAAATAATTAAATATATGCATTTATTCGTATTACAACCGTAGTAAGTCGATTCTTCCTTTCTTCTACTGAGTTTTGAATTTGATTTCGAATTGTATAGAGATTCAAAGGGAAAATACTAGCGGATAAAAACTACCTCCATGAAAGGGTCATAATGGAGTCAAGTTGTATTTTTTGATATTTTTTTGCTTTTCGAGCCTAAATAGGTAGCCAAGATAATGCCTAAAAATAAGGTTCTAAATTCTGAAGTTTACATGATCCTCTCGTGTGCACCCTTAAATGAAGAAGTAATTTAAAACGATTTTATTTATGATCAAATTTTATATATTTTTTTGGATCAAATCCATTTTAATAGAATTTATATACTATTCATCTATTAGTAAACACTACCGTATATTATTTTTTAAGCTATCTTATTTTTTGAACTTTTATTCAAATCTTTGGTCGCAAGAAGAATTGCATGATAAATAAAAACATTTAATCAAAGTCAATTTTATTTTTCATAATCAAATGGACTGAGTGTTAACATTTAACATTTTTTGCTAATTGTCGTCAAAAATTAGGCGTAAAGCAAAAATTGATATTTCATATGGTTTTATGATAGATAAGCATTATATTCCCACTCATTATATTCGTAAATTTTGAGGGTTATCCTTCGCTTTTAAGATCATTGAATTTGATTTTATATAAAATAGTTATATATTAGAAAATAATATGAGTTTATGTGATATTATTTTTCAGAAGATTTCATTCTATATGCCTATGAAAAGTACTCTCAAAACTAACTTTTTCCTAATTATAATTAAATCTAGAATATTGTATTATGCTTAGTATTATTTCATTTTTCTCATTCAATTTAGAATTTACAGATGTCAAAAAATTGAGAGCTGTCACTTTTGATGAATTTCTGTTTATTACATGGTATTAAACAGTTTTATGCTTCATATAAACTCCTTATTATCTAAATGGCCATAACTTGTGCTAACAATGATCAAGATTCAGCTGTTTATGATAAATTTAGACATTTTCGAGTTAAAATTTCGTTATCATAGCTTAATTATTTCTTTTTAATAAGATAAAGGCAGGTATGAATGCAAAATATACTAGGCAGAATCATATGATTAGATCATTCAATAATACCACATTGTTCTAGATATCGTTTTAAGATTTGGCCTTGAAAATACATATAAGATAGAGAATATAACTACATATCAATATGAGTATCTTATCCAACGCATTAGAGTTGATACTATGAGGGATAATTTTCCAACATTTTATGAAAATGTTCAAATGTGGCTAAATCATAAATTTTTATAATGTACTGATGTATTATAATACATGTTTAACAGTATTTTTGAAAAAGATAAATTTTCTTCAAAAACCGCCACAGCTCGTTTATTTCCTATGGCACCAAAATATACAGAGGAGACTGAAGCTAAGCTTAATAAGTCCCTCGACGAGGTTGGCAGAAAGGACCGCAAGGAAAAGAAAGATAAACAACAGAAGAAGGATAAAAAGGATAGAAAAGAACAACCAAAGAAGGACAAATTAAAGGAAAAGAAAATTTCAAAGAAGGTTGTTATCTCTGGTTCAACAATGAGAAAGCTTTTCTCTGCTGCAGGAAAAACAAATGATATTGACGAATTTCCAAGTATCAACGTTACTTTGTCCATTAAGAAGAAATAAATATTCATTTACATATTATATTACGATTTTTAGACCTTATAAATAAAACTCACTATTACATTTAATCAAAACAAAAAATTTCGATTAAGTGAAGTGATCAATTTTTTCTACCTTTTATATACTAAGTCTATCTCTACCAGTTACGCACTATTGCAAAGATCTTGGCTGGGTAAATTCAATATGAATTTATTTCAGCATTAAATAATTGAAAAACCATAAGCATATCTAGATCTTTGATACTTATATTTTCGAAAAAACATAATATACAATATTTACAAGTCATAATCAAAATGGCTTGAATTTATTGCATTTTTTTTTTTTTTTATGCCAACACATTATGCTCTGAATTTATCACTTGTTGGAAGGAAATTTAATGGCTAACAGTTTGACTTCCTTTCATGTGAATTTTCAGCGCTATACATTACTCGTAAAAAAATTCAGTGTTTTTTGACTTTTATTTTTGTTTTTAATTTCTACTTGGTAAATACAACAATTTTAAGATCTGAAACAGTTGAAAGATAGATAATGATGTATATATATGCTAAGGCCATGTTTCTTCAAAAAATATTCATCACATCATAGTGAAAAAGTGCATTTAAGAGATGAAATTCTGAAGTTTACAAAATCTTGTAAAACGACTGTTTCTCACTCAATATGTGATATTGTCGAATTTTTCTATAACATAAATTTGTTTTATTAGATAAGTTATGTATTGACATCAAAAGTATGTCGAGAAATATTTTCTATCAATGGGGAAAAAAATCAAAAATTCAATTTTGATTTTGAAATAACTCAAAATCAGTTTAGAATTGAGAAATAAAACAATTATGAAAAGATTGTACTAATATAAGTCTAACAATCAAACAGAAGCTTTTTCCATTTTAAATACTTAACTGAAAGAATTTG